CCCCCCCCCCCCCCTTTGCGCCCCCTCCCCAAGTCTGTCGAAGTCCCGCAGTCCCGCACGTCATGTAAGATAACGCAAACACGTTGTGTCACGTGTTCTAGAACGCCTTGGCTGGCGACAGGTCTGACACATTTTTAAGCAGGGATCTCAAAAAGATAAGTATTTTATTTGTAGACGTGTTCCGTTGACTGTTTTATCTATAACAGATGCAAATAAAACAAAATAAGCGTTAAATTTAATGTAAATTTCGGTCTATTTCATTTCGTGGACGCGGCGAAGGTCCTCTTTGTTTTGTATCCATCATGGCTCTGGATGACGTGTTTAAGCAAGAGGATTCGCTGCTTTTTACAGACGAGTTTCACAACTCTTACATCCTTAAAAGAATCGCTCGAATGCGAATGCATTCCGTTTTAACAGACGTAGTTCTTGTGGTAGAGGGCAAAGACTTTCCTGCTCATCGAAATGTTCTTGCTGCGAACTCGGACTACTTTATGGCCATGTTCAGCGGCCACATGGCTACCACAAGTGCTAGAGTTGAGGTTAAAGAAATAACAGCGACCGCGATGGAGATTCTTTTGGATTTTATCTACAAAGGCGAAATTTTGATCACGGAAGAGAACGTTGAAGATGTTTTCTGTGGTTCATGTTTGTTACTGCTTGAAAATGTGACTCAAGCTTGCTGCAAGTTTATTCAAGAACGACTGACTTTGTCAAATTGTTGGGGAATCCGAGCTCTTTCGGATAAGTTCAACAGTAATGACTTGCGGAACCGAGCAAATACATTTATTGAGGAAAATTTTATGGAAGCTGCAAGCTGTGAGGAATTTTTAGTGCTGCCTCCGTCTCATCTTGCAGATCTTTTGATGGATGATGAAATTGTGATTCCTCGTGAGGAAGACCTCTATGAACTCCTTCTCAAATGGGTAGAACACAACCGCGAAGAACGCATCAAGCATTTTCCTTCACTACTGCAAATGATACGACTTCCTCAGATCAACCCTGAATACTTTGAAGAAATCATTGCCACCGATGATTTGGTGACAGATCACCCAGAAGCCCATGAAATTATTTCTAAAGCGAGGAGACATATCTACTCCATGATGGACTATGAAGAATCAGTAGGGGATAGTAAATCTTTCAAGTGGCAAATCCCCAGACGTTGCCTTAGAACTGTGAGTGTTTTGCTGACTATCGCTGGACCATTCTGTGCAATATTTGATCTGGAAACAGAACGCTGGCACAACATCTCTAACCTTACCACGCGTCACTGTCCTGGCATTGAAACTCTCGGGAAATATGTCTACGTGGTTGGTGGAAGCAAAGAGTGGAAGCGTATGAACACTTGTGAACGTTATGATCCAGACTATAACCAGTGGAATGTAATGAAACCAATGAGTGTTCCGCGCAGCAATATCGGACTGGTTGCTCTTGATGGTCTGCTCTATGCTGTAGGAGGTTATGATGGCAGGTCACCCATACGGTGAGGTTTTTATGCTTTAAAGTTCAAGGTGTACTCTCTTATCAAAATAATGGGGTCAGTGGCTGCTTAAAAAAGCCCCTTTTACATGTAGTTAGGTGTCCTGGGAATAGTGGTGAAGGAAATTCTTATTTCTGCTAAGTACTACAGACTACTACTTACAAGCCTTGGGCTTATACATCTTCGTAAAGGGTTTTAGAGGGGTTTATAATAATATTGGAAAAGAAAGGGTGTTCGAA